TACTGCTAAAATGAAGCCATGCTTTGAGATGAACTCAGTCACCGATCAGAAGCGCTGCCGCACAGTTGCGTAATGATTCAGGCCAGGAGGTGGAGAATGGGTGTTTTCTGATTGAAGCAGTAGCTGGGTAAGTAGAATACAATTATCATGTCTAATTTTGCTGTGGCCTCCGCAGGATCTGAGCTCTGCTGTTGCTCTAAGCGGCAAGCTACATTTTCCATCTGTGACTCCTCCATCATGCCTCTTACAGCATTGCTCTTTCAGGTGATGAATGGTGAAGAATTTGTCTGAAATGTCAAGTGGCCATGCTGAAGGCCTACCTGGTGTCGATTCAGAAGGGGTTGTCCTACATACACAGCACCACGGTCCAACTGCTTCCGTGTCCGCTGCATTTCATTTTCTAAATGATGAAAGCGTTCGCAATAGTAGTGTTGTAGCCATGATGGCCCAGGGCCGAGGCGGCCAACTTGTGGCGTGGGCAGCCTCCATGTGGCACGTGGCAGATCGGAGAGGGAGCGACTGAGAGGGCTGAGAGCAGAAAGCAGAGTAAGAGTTCGGGCAGGGAGCACAGGGCTGGGAGCAGAAAGTCGAGCAGCAGATCAGGAGAGGCAAAAGGGATTGGAGTGGCACTTGAGGAGGGCTTGGGGCTAGTTTGTTCCACACCTGCTAAAAAGGTTGGCCCTCACTGGCCCAGGGAATAGCTGAGAGGCAAGATGCGTGGGACAAGGTAACTGGACCAACTGTATCGTTGGGAGAGGTGCTTGATCAACTTTGGGACACCAAATGCTCTTCCTTAGGGCTGGGAAAGTGGGTCTTAGGCTGGATCTGTTTCCTTCCTGGCCCTGGGAAGGTGTTTTGTGTGCATCTAACTTCTCTCCCAGCTATATAGTGTGTCTTTAAAAGGCTAGCCATGCAGGATGCCCGACTGAGCACCACAGAGACTGGTTATCTATCCAGAGTATCTGTACAGTGCTGGCTTCTGGCAAGGAGAATGTCTGTCCTGCCTGTTTCCCTGCAATAGGTAAGCTCACGCAGGGCCCTCAGCTTTGAGCTGGCAGAATCGTCCCAGGACCAAAGGGTAGTTTAGTGCCTAAGGCCCCTCTCCTGAGAGGGGCAACAGGGGTATCACTCGTGGTTGTCCCATTGTCCACATACCGGCTGGCCACTGGCCAGTGATTTCTCACCCGATTCTTCACAGTAGCCTAGCAGTGACTGCTACTCACTGGGGTGGGTTTACTTTGATTTTCATCAGCTCCTTTGCAGTTGCCGTTTTTCCAAGGAGATTAAAAGGCTCTGTCTTTTCAACAGTTGTCTTCTCAGTAGAGCCCTTGGTCCCGGTCCAAATGTCTTTGGCAGTAGACACTTACTCGAGATCCTCTCTTGCAACACCCTGACTCATCCCTGGGATATACCACCAAAGCTGGCAGGAAGCAACTAAGGGCGGTGGCCTGAGAAATGACAGCTTTCAAGATCCTAATCACAGGAGCATGCGTTTGGTAATCATAGAATCGTAGAAGTTGGGTCAGAAGGGACCTTGTAGATCTGCAAGTCCGACCCCCTGCCTGGGCAGGAGAAAAACTGGGCTCAAATGATTCCAGCTAGGTAGGCATCAAGCCTCTTCTTAAAGACCTCCAGGGTAGCAGCCAGCACCACTTCTCTTGGAAGTTGGTTCCAGATCCCAGCTGCCCTGACTGTGAAGTAGTTCTTATGGATGTATAATCTAAACCTCGTCTCCAACAACTTGTGGCCGTTTATTCCTAGTTATGCAGGGGGGCATGAGGAGAAACAAGGTCTCTCCCAAACCCTTTTGGTCCCCCCTAG